AACTTTATTTCGTTTCAATTCATAATCTGTAATTAATATATTATTACCCATCGACAATTTAATAAATACATATAGATGTATAGATAACTTTCGAAATTCCAATTGAAGATTTCAATAAATACATCTACCGTTACATGCTACATTAACTATTCATTCTAAATACTTAGAAACGTTTATATCCCCCACCCCAAAAGAAATATTGAAAAAGGTCCGATGTCGTGTATACGAATATCCTATTCATTGCATCTTGTATTCAGTGCCCTCCCTAGATGCCCATGTATTTTACTGGGCGCCCTGATTGGTTGGCGATACTGGTATATTGATTGTATATTGATTTGACAGGTCAAAGGTTAAATTCGAACATGTATGACTTGCATACGTAATGAATACATGGAAAGAGCAATTACTTTTGTCTCGTTGAGGGAATTTTACGACTCGTGCAAAGTTAAACATTTACCAACCCTTGTAAACACTCATACACGATTGGATGTCTAATTTGCTGCCGTCATTTAGCAATTTTCAAGAATATTAGAACGAAACGGAATAGTCCAAATTATTTAATAGGCGATTTTCTGTATATATTTCATACAGCATATATTTGCAATTTGACAGAGTAGCTGATGTCACGGTCAATATCATATTCGTAACAAAGACGCAACGCTGAATGCTAGAGTGCAAATTATCCGACGGACATGACATTATGGTTGGCAATTACAGATTCCAAGCATAAAACATGCTTACTGCATAAAATAGTCCTATTTAATATTCAGACGTTGAAGCTCTAATCAGTAAAACTGTCGGACCACTTAAAATTAATTAGCGACGGATTGATGACTCGGTGCGGATGTTTGATTTACATAGTTATTATCACAAAGTGGAAAGCACTAAATCAACTTAGCGAGCCGGGATTTCCGATACGTTTTGTCAAGACTAATGCATTCAATTTGAGTCGGATTCCATCAGTAATACTAGGCAAACAATTACGCCGTTCAATCATGTACAATTGATTCACAAATATGTGCAACTACTCTTTGAACCTCGCAAAAAAAAGTCAGCAATTAATTTTGACGGCGGAGCGGGTCAAACAATCATATCGAGTAACTGAGATTTCCCAGGTGAAATAATGTTTAGAATCGTATGTGAAGGACGAAGTTAAATCTTTACTTCAAAATTCAATTTCTGCAGTTTTAACGCGTACAACAGTGAAGTCCACGGATAATGGTACATCGTCAATTGGATTCAATTCGGCATAGTTTTCACGAATCGAATTGGAATAGCGTTCACTATATTGTGCAATTTAATCGTCATCGCATAGACATTTACATCGGATGTATAACTACACTGATATGTCTACCACGTGAATATGCGTTTTATTTAAATCAACATATGAAGTCGTTCTTTTTATTTCATAATTGTCTGATTACGTTGTACAATAGAAAAATCACCGTTGATTGAAGCTTCTATGCAAAAGATGGCATGCTGGCTTGAACAAACCACTTCATTTACCTGATTTAAAAAAAATGATTGAACAATGAAAAATTCAATTACAAAAGAAACAAGCAACCGCATTCTTATCTCCCCTGTGGGGATATCTATTTAATTATTTTTCTCTTTGATTTAACGTTCCATGAAAAAATATCCGAGGGTCAAAATAGGAAAACATAATAATCCCCGACTGACAACCCTCAACATGACATAGTACATCGGGCTGTTTATGTATACAGATTTCCGGGCCACATTAACGAGAGTAATTAGTTGCGTTAGTCAGCCACGCTACGCGTACACGAATATTCAGATTATTTTGTTTGACACGCGATCAGTCCCTGGGGACAACGATTTTGTGGAAGAGGGATTTTCACAAGTGTCAACTGCTACCGCAAAGTTATTTTGACATCTGCATATATTTTCTCATTTATTTCAGCGCTATGACGAAATAAGTGAGCGATGACTCTTCGAAAGCTACTATGGATGTTATTAATATTGCATATTACCACTGTTTCATCTACCAACAAATCTCGAACAAAAGATAGCGGCGAAATTGACGGTAAGTTGTCAGTGAGTTTGTAGTTACATTTTACGACGCGCTCGGAATTGTTGACCGTTGATCGTTTCCCACAGAAATTGACTTCAGCTATTTTGTCTATATGTTGCAAAATACATGTACTAGAAAAGAATACATCAACGTGATTCAAGTAACAGAGGGTGTGTTTCTAGCTTGAGCTAGCTTAGAGAGAAAAAAACAATCAACCTTTAGAGCAAAAGGTTGAAGAGAATCAAATGTGTAGGTCAATGTCATCGACCAAGTTTATTTAGAACTATCGTTCAGGCGGCAGTCGCACTAAACATAATTAAACAAACGGGTTATTTAATGTCAGGTGTATATGTTTTTAACATTATAAATGAAACCCGGATGTACAGGTACTCAACAATTTATTTGCGTTTTATAGTGAGGAGTTGTTTGTGATATTTTTGTATAATAACTAGTAATAACATACACAGAATACGTACTATACTGTACTATTCAGGTACTACTTGACACATTGCGAATATATCGTATTTTATTTTGGGCTCGTTAAAGTTGGAGAGATGTTCCATCCTAGAGAGTGATTTTTTGGTGATTGCTGGAGTTGCAGAGGCAATGCACGCAATACATTCAATTTAAATGCGTTTTAAAAAAAAATATTTCAGTCGGTTAGCGATCTCGAAGTTAATCGACTGCTGTAATTGGGTTAAGTGGATTGCCAGAATTAAATGGAATTTGCAATTACTGGGGATGAGGGTTACGCGATTACACAAACTGATACGGAAGAGATCGCGCTATTTAAAATTCTCTGCATGAGAATCAGCGTTTAGAGTACGTGACTTTCCGATTCTTGCATCCCCGAGACATTTATGAATATCACTGTATAAAACTACTAATATTACTAACTAAATGTTAAATCTGACGTCTCTTTTTAGTAATAATTAGTCTAAAACAATATTTAGAAAATAAGACAGAGAAAACTGGGTCGATGACGTTGCGTGCTCGACACGTATCTGATTGGTTCTATCTCATTCCTTTTAGTATGATGACCACGCAGACCGGCAATAGATAAGGTAGCAGGTCACATGCTTAACCTTGGTGATTACTGCATAGTTAATCTTTAAATACACTCTATTAATTATTATTGGGATCTACTATACCAAGGAATTAATTTCAATTTAAAAGTTATTATTACATACATGATTTCGTGTCCACCAACAACGTTCATTAGTGGTAATTGTTGTGATTTCGTCGTCAATTTCAATAAAACGATATTTACTCCACATTCCAAGCAGAAGAAAAAAGATTGTGTAAGGAACGCTCACTATCTTACCAATCATTTTACTTCCGATTGGATTTTCCAGCAGATTTAGTACACTCATATATTTCTCTTTCATCGAGTTGCAAGGCAGTGTTTGTGTTTGTGTATGCACATTGCGTTAGGGTCTTTGAATTTTACAATGTATCTTTATTTCATTCTGTTATTTGCAAAATCTAAAATAAAAAAGTATGATTGTTAAATTATTTTTCGCACTAAATATATGGTTTAAAAATTCTACACAAATGGCTGTCACGAGTTGTAATGGCATATCAGAGATTATTATACCTGATTTTGTTTCCCACGGGGTTTGTTTTAAATTGTCCATTTTAACATGTGTTTTTTTCGGAATTAATACTGTACATCTTTATATTGGAAACAAACCTTGGCAATTGTTGTAATTTGTATTCGTATTAAAAAAAATGCGAGACCTGAAGATCACGCGCGACATCCATTGTTATTGTTTCTAGGTTACCAGTACATTACATGATCAAAATTATGTTATGATAATGCGCGACACTGCAAATGTCTAATCTAGCGTTTGGTATGTTACCCAAAATACATCAGAATCATGCCAGATTACTGTATACGCTTATATCCATAATATACTTGTGCAGAGGACACATGCGGGTCAAACGACTTTACGAGTATGTCACGTAAGAAACGTGTGTTTGATGAACTCGATTAAAATTCTTCGAAGATTTTATTTAATAACCAATTCGGGCGTGAAAGCAATTGTATGCTGTTAAGATGCGGATGTCGCAAACTTCGAGCTAAAGTTATCTGTCATTCACATGTACAACCTAACTGAAATAAATGCAGACATATACAGTTACTGAAAAACAAAAACAAAATTGTAAATTGTAAAAAGTTGTGAGGTTATTGACCAGTAGTATGCACAAGTGTGGTAATACTTCTTCGATAAAGTGCTCATTGCTACTGTATCGCCATTAATGGTTCTTCCGTTCCCATGGGACTGGACTGAATTATTAGTATGTTATGATTTCAGACACGATTAGTTAAAGACGGGGACATGACAGGAAATGAATGGATGCTATAAATACTGTAATAACGGCTATAGCAGAAATAGTAATGTCGAATACGCACAGAACTGTCTAGTAATATAAAGATACAATCAGTACTTAATAAACCGGAACTAACTAGCTGTTGTGACTTGTGCACAAATTAGTGATTAATCTCTATTTTCTTAGAAATATTCTGGCGTCAATTATGTGTAGACGTAGTTACATTGACGAATAAACCACACACACGCGTGTACATTGTCCGGTACACTCATATCAATAAACACATTACGTAATTCTTCTATAGTCCGAGACAGTCATTCCTGAATTGGATGATACAATTTTTTTTATTGGATGAATTGTCGGACAATATTTCAAAGCATGCACGCTATATCACATACATAACTCATAAAAGTGCCGATAACCTTGTTCCAAAAATAGATCCACGGCGATGTTTCAGTTAAATGAAATGATCGGACTAAAATTGTATGTTCTGTCTTGTAATATTATTAAATTTATTTCATTCTAAAGTTCGATTTATTTCGTTATTAAGTTTTTACGTGTGTTAAAAGAATGTAATTGGACAAGTGGTAACTATGGAAACATACATCGCCATAAATCGATAGTGCACCTTGGTTGGCAGACTGCTGTAATTTGTACATGTCCGCTGTTCTGATGATTGGCAGATTAGATTAATTACGATCTTGCATATTCGGTGTTCAGCACTCCCGCGCCGTAGTCATAACCAAAATAGACTAAATAATCAGCAACAATCAATCAATATCTTTTTTATTACAGTCTGTATCAGAGCGAATCATCCGATTAGTAATTCCTCTTGCCAGTCACGTGCGTATTTCGATACCATGGACAATCAGCCACCATGTCACAAGCGCACTTGAGTATGTAGGTCGAACCAAACGGAGTATGGTACGGATCAGTTACAGGCATACCGTAGAGTCAATGGTATATAGAGCTTAAACTTCTTTTAGATATAGCTGCAGGCCGTAACCCAAACTAGACAGTGATAGTGTTCGAACGATCACGACAAGATCGTGAATTTCACGATCAAGTTTTATCCTTAGTTCTTCCAGAAAATTGTGTTGTGCTTTTGCCACATAATCAACCTCCTTTCATTTTGTGGTTGCGGCTGCTGTTTAGGCCACGAATTACAATAAATAGTTGAGTATTATTAATCACATTCTTGTAAATTCATTTATCGTGCTTATAATTACGAAATAAACAATTTGTATATCTTACGACAACATACTAACATTAAATATTATTACATGACTATAATTTGAATGCGATGCATTTGTTTCGAAATAATTAAACACATTTAACTCCCGATGTTAACTTTGAAGCGATCATGTTCATTTTTGTAAATTGTAGCGGATGTCAAGGACCACCCACGACCAACGTAAACGTGTATGATTCAGATTAACCTGGTTGAGACTTACGACATACTACGTGAATGGATTTCAATGTTATTACGTTAGTAGATTATTAGATTTAATACAAACAATACAGAGCAACCCAAGCCTGATTTTGTCAAGGTCCATGTGCACACCATTGGAATAATGTATTTATAAAATGGACTATTGGTTCATGCATGACATGCCTTTACTTCTTTGAAACGGGTCATCGGACTTTGGAAGTGTAGTGTTACCGAACGATATTAAACTGACACCGATACTGTAGTATATCTAGTGTTACAATTTAGCACTTTGAACTATACACTTGACACTCGTTCGCTACGTACACAAGACGGGAAACTAGTCATTATACATAAACTGTACGCCACTTCGAGTCCCAAGCGACGATAACAACGCACGCTAAACACACAAAGGCTCATGGGTAGACGCGTGTTTGTAAACAACGTTACGCTATGGCTGTCTGCCGCATGCGCAGGTGACGACTCTCCCGCTTTAATGTCTGCTATTCCTAATTTTACTTTACGTACTTCAATAATAAGTCATCAATTCAGTGCATTTCTCAGCATTGAATACAGCGATGTATTACATGTTTTACTCATGATGTTTTACTCATCGGCGTGTTCTACATCAACGAAACGTCCATCGAAGTTTTTGCTGAGAAACAATATGGTCAATGCAGGAAACATAATTAACCAATTCAGTGCGTTGTGTTTAGCTAATACTAATAATATATATTGTTATACATCTGTCACCGTAACGCTATAAGTTACAGCGTGCCATAATTTTGCGATATTTAACGGGGTATTTTCATTCTACCATATAAGGTATGCGAATTCCAAATATGGAATGATTACGCGCGTAAACAAACATGGCTGCCACCAGAGTTTGACCGAATTCTACACAGAGAAGTTCGCTGATTCTGTTCCAAATTTTTTTGATTTCGGTGTTTCCATGATGTATCCTAGGAAGGAAAAGATGTATAATATAAGGTTATTACGAGAATACCTCAAAATATGCACTCAGACAGTACGCCGTCGCATCGACCTATGCTGCGCGTCGGTCAATACTACCGATGTACTGTCTTCATGCATACTTTGAGGTATCCTCGTAAAAACCTTATAATACATAGCACGATTCATATTTTTAAAGGTATATGTTTTCTGAATATTCGACGCAAATCTTACCCATCATGCAATGCACCGTATAGGGTGGCCATGTTAAAAAGCCACACGTCATCCCAATGGCGATACCGAGATACTCTCCTATGACTATGAAAGGCAAATGATTCAGTAGCAAATTCATTTATCCAGAACTTCTAAATAATCCCTGGATAATGCACATAATTTAGGTACGTTAGCTTGGTGTTGCCATAATAAAACCAGTACAACAAATAGATAGCTGCACCAACACTAACATATAAGTACATGTTCTATTGTATTTCTATATAATATTATGCTTACATGTTACAAAATGCAAGTGAGATCCAATATGACTGATGTATACAGTACAAAGTTAGTTCCGTATCACTTTGATTTTATGCTGGGACATAAACCTTTGACATTTTAAACACTCATCGGTATAATCTCCACACAGCTGATTGTAATCAATTTACTATGATACTATTTTGATGCCGAGAGCTCACCCGAATGCCCACGTCATTTCGTTCGTTGACGTCATCAAATACCGAGGTTAAAGGGTATTTTTAAATTCAGTAATATCGTAAAAGTATTCACAACTTATCTGTAAACAAAAGCAATGAATTTATTTTGCAATCGTTTTTATAATCATTCACATATAGTATATATGTAATGATTATCATGAACTATGTATATGAGAAACAAAACGTTAAATTATATAACTTAAATACGTAGAGGGATTGCCTGAAAAGCTAACCTGTAAGCATATAGCTAGCATATCCGAACGAATTCAGATTTCCTACCTATAGCTTCGCCCATCTCTCCGCATTGTCTCGTATCTCGCGATCGGGCATTACCCGATATGATTCAAACTTGTTGGGTGGCGCGTATGCCATTTTGTTCAGCAGTCCGGTTACCAATGACTAGCGCGTGTCTTTTTATTTAGAAAAAATCAATTTGCCCAAATGTAGGGTGTTCATTCCATGAAATGTGTAGCGTAATTATTTTTTTTGATTAATAGTGGGTGTTTATTAAAAATCAGGCCAAACACATAAAGTCGAAGACAAGCCAGTTATTCGTTGCGTTTTGTTTCAAAACTAGTCTAAGAATGGATATGTGGCTAGTCAAAAAATGCGTCAAGCAGTGTGTAGCCATTGTTCCATTCGAGAGAGAGGGTAACATGTCACTGAAAACCAGTACTGCCGATAGTTAATGCCGTTTTCTGATACGTGTTATTTATTGCGGTCTGCCAAAGAAGTACTGTGTTTACGTGTTTTTGTATAAATTGCCAATGGGGTAATTGACAGCGCATGCTTATCTCACAACTATAATGATTCAAGCCACAGCTGAGCTGCTATGTAAAGCATTTAATTTGTAATTGTAATGCACATTAAGATTTCATTGACGTAGTGTGTAATACGTCTCGTGACTATAATAGTAACTGACCATAAACGTCGAGCATTCATCGGCGGATGTGGGATAATATTACAACAATATTTTGTTAAAGGCTGTTCTCGCGTATTAATAAATTCGGATAATATTATTACCCTATTTTTTGTTTTGTTTTCGCCCATTAGGAACCAATGTTAAATGGCTCGACGTTTTCGTGGTCTTAGTCATTTTGCACCAAAAGTTCGTTCGTGAGTTTTGTAAACAACGTCATTGAATAAAACCATAATGTATAAAATAAATTATCATAAACAAGTGAAAATTAGGAATTCGCTTCATTCGATCGACAAAGTAGTTTAATGTGTAGTAAACCATAGTGAAACGTATAGAAATTTTGGTGGGTAATAAGTGAAAAGTGTCGTGAAAAAATATTCGACGTCACAATGAGAGACGATGTCATTAAGATATATACCAAATATATATACAGTCAACGGTGAATAGTCCCAACTACGAGAATACCACAAAGTATGCACGAATAGAAGTCACTGAGCCGGAAATCCTTAAAATGAAATTCCCACAATTCAAACTCTAACATTATAAAGTCACGTGATAATAAAATTACATTATTGTCACAAATATTGAATTTATGGGCCGTCGATCAATCATAAATCTGTCATTTTTTCTTGTTTAAATACTTCAGAATTTTCCCGGTTTAATGGCAATTGTGGTGACAATATTTCGTGAATGTCACTGACACTGTTTCGCAATCAAACAAAAAATCGCTATTTTCACAAACTTTTCAACATCAGTTAAACTTCCGTCAGTGATATACATTCTGAGTTCACTCTCATTATCGATCAATCAATTTAGTACGGGAGATAAATAACATTTAATAGTAACTTATCCGTAATAAATATATTGCAATATAAAAACATACCATCAGAATGTATTAAACAAAGTATATCACTCAAAAATATATCATATCATTCAAAGTTAAACAATTAAAAACGTAATTGACTAATGAATTATCGAAACGATGTGGTACTAAAGATTGTAACTTTGGTATTAATCTCTCAAGAGGCAAATAGTAAGTTGGAAGTATGGCATTTCCAAAAAATTTTCTTTGGTTTTAGTATATTTTTGTTGACTCGCACATGTCAAATAGAATGTCAATTTATTTCTATGAAAACAGGAACTGTAATAAGGATTGGAGAGATGAAATAACCGGCACTTAACCGAGATTTGCGGGTAAAACATGCCACATATGTCACTGTCGTCTTAAGATCGGTGGATTATTGTTATATTAACGGGATCATCGGTGGTTACACTGATTATCACGCTTATTGCATGTACATTTCACGACGTCATTTTGGCAGTATCTTATAGTATTGTTTTTTTTCTTTTTCAATCTGACACACATCCAGTGATTAATAGTCAAGCAGTGCCCCAGCTGTGGATGTTAATTATTATGTTTTCCTTAACCGTGATCGTTAATAATGTTTGTATTAAGAAGGCGTGCAATTATATAACGTATTACAACAAGGGGCACTTAACTGTACTGTAAATTAGGCGAGCGCTATATTCATGCAATGACGTATTAATTATATATCTGACATATATTAATGCCACATGTATATCTAGCCTGACATGTAGGCGTGAGTGGCGCCCTCGCCGGCCGTACGGCACCAGAACTTGCTGTGTGTGGGGTTTGGAGCACCGCAAACACACGCGATCTCGTCAGCGCAAAGTATATCTAAAACAAGATAATAAATTGCACCGTGCTTCAAAACACTCGAATTGTATTTATTACGCATATATATCATATTGCAGTATGACCAGTCTCTATATCGATAGCGATGAACTTCTTTATTATTTCATGTACTTGTCATTTTAATCGTAATTAGCTGGAGCATTAAATGCATATATGGTTGTCTTAATATTGTTGTGTCAATTTTATGTTTGCGTCATAGAATAAAACATGAACGGAAAAAACTCTCATATCGTGAATATGTTTTGTTTCTGTTTCAGGCAGATGTCTTCATGGCGACATAACAATTCCTAACAATGAACGCTTCACGCCTGAAGAGGACGCATGCGCAACATGTATATGCCAGGTATATTCACATTTTTATTTCAGTATAACGTGTGGTTTGAATAGATTTTGAATAAAATCGTAATCATTTCCCAAGTAGTGAATACTTAAAGGGCGGTAGTCGTCGCACTGGGCATGTGCGACATTTGTGTTGATAAACATTCAATGCGCTCTTCTAATTGAAATCACAAGTATGAGGTTTGACCTGGGCGCGACTTGCACTAATTACCGCCGGTGACTCCTTCGATATCATCCAATCACCTGAAAACATCTAATTAAAGCTTGGTAACGTCTCAGTTAGTACTCCTGTAATCTGCGCAACAGTCAAAGTCGCCATCTTTGTTAATATGAGACCCATATATCTCGCGCATGCGTGGCGCCCTTCAAATTAAATTGCAAAACATAGAATTAAATTAATTGTATCATAGTTGATGCGTGTCGTCGTTGTGCAGATTCAGTAAACAACAACTACCACGATTGCTCACAGGACACATGCCGAAGAACGTCAGTTTTCAGCAATGTAATGAGAAGATCTGAATAAATGTTTTCTTCTCACAGGAAGGTAAGGTGACATGTAAGCCGATAATATGCCAGGAACTGAGCTGCGATATTACCATCAAACGACCGAACGAATGTTGTGCCCGTTGTGCAAGTAAGTATAGTAAACCAACTAAAATGTGTTTCTGTTGTTTGTATTGTTCATCATAAATTTTGTCGAAACGCAATACAGAATATATACAATTTATTTTCGTGTAGATATCTCTTAAAGCGAGGGATTCGTCACCTGCGCATGCGTCAAATGTTATAGCGTGTCATTGTTTCCAAACAAGCGTCTACCCATGAGCCTTTGCGTTTTTAGCGTGTGTGTGTATCATCGCCTGGGACTCAATTGCCGCGCGTGCGCAGGTGATGACCCTCCTGTTCTAATTAAATTCGAATTAATCAGTATAAAGATTCGTATGGAAAACAGGACGCGGGCATTTGTTCGTTGGGTTAGTTAAATCACATACTTTAAGATTTGCGGGATTGTCATTATATCATGCACGTGTCCCGTGATAATTTCAAAGATTGCTGTTTAACATATTAACGTTACTCTCGTGCACTCACTCACAGCTACCACTATACACATTGCCAACATAACCGAAGAAAAAGAAAAGTCGGATGGAAAGTCAACGCTGGCAACCGATATTGCGTTGTCAGATTTCGTTCCGATCGATGAAACAACAGGGATAATACTACGTCTACCGCCCCCACCGATGATACCTCCACCTCCTCCTTCAAGGATGAACATTGACTCGGAACCGACGATAATTCCAACCATGGCTCCACCCACTCCGCCAACATGTACCAAGGTGTGTTGCATTCTATTCCTCAAAATTAGTTTCAATGATCAAGCCATAGAATTCTTTCAGAATACAATTTGCTAAATAACTAATGTACTACTTACATATCTGATGAAAATACTTGTTTGTAAATAGTCAAATCATTTAGCATTGTCTCTGATTGGCCAATTGATAAACAATCCGGAAAATATACCTTACGTACGGTATGCAGACCGAAACACGAGTAAACTGGGCACGAGTGGATATACGTGTAGGCTTATGCAACTTATATCATAAAATACGTTTGTAAACTGAAATATTACCCCAGTCTTGTTCACCAAGTTTTCAAATAAATTTAAAATACGGAAATCGTCAATTATTATTTAGAACACTTGTTTCACTGAAGCATGCCACATTCTCATTATTATTTTGCATTTTAACCATTAATTGATGAGAATACTAGTCCATTTGTTCCTGCTGCCAACCGTGGGAATGACAATGCACTCTCACAAACTGCAGTCGCGCAAAGAACGTAGTTTGCACCTAAATTCACTCACCCACGAATGCAAACATATACGTTTAGAACGCAAATGTTGACCAATGTTGGAATGAATACATTATAATAAATTTTATGTTTTTGAAAGGTTTTACTTTATGGTAAATGACGAACATCCACACAATTGCTTTCATTTATATAAGTACATCATATTGACAAAAGACAAAGTCAATGAAACATTCTGTCGCATGAGGGCGCAACTTATGGAAATTGCGAATAGTTCTCCTATGTAGTCGTACTGACGCCATTTTTCTTATTGGGTGAGCTCGATTTTATGAAGTGCTTAAAGAATATATCCTAGTTAGATTCACTAAACACTACAGAAACTACACAACAAACCGATCATGTCGTGCAGGAGGTAATTAATTGTTGTCATTGTTTTCAATTAGGACTGTACAGATCAATGCGGATGCCCTCCTGGTCCGCCAGGTGCACGCGGACCTCCTGGACCAGCTGGCGAACAAGGACCACCGGGAGAAATTGGACCACCTGGACCACCTGTAAGTTAATGTGAAACATGAATTAGTTATTATCAAAGATCGCCAAGATATTATTTACACATAAAGACAATAGTGTACACTGTGTTGTAAAATAATTAACATGTACATCAATTGTAATAAACACTTATTGTAATATAATATGTTTCTATGCATGCGTATATCTCGATGTACAATTACACTGACTATATATGGCCATCATAGCACGATGTCTGTACAATGCTAACTATCTAGTTTATATTACAGGGCAGACGAGGCAAGAAGAGTAAATTGAGGGTTGGTACTTTGGAATCCTCTCAAAGTATTTGCCTAACTTAAATGTTCCTGCTCCGTGTTTCTCTCATAGATCCTGTCATCTTATAACATACCATTATTTCATTAGTATATTACTCAATGCTCATCTCTCTAAAACTATGGATTACTCATTGTAATAATACTTGCACGGTTATTGTTTAATTTTATTTTTTTCTCATTCCCTCTTCCACACTAACCCAAAATGTATCACAGTCATGGTTTTAGAATTGTAAAGCAATAAACACATGTCTGCTGTTTCTATAACTCACAATTCAAAAACATGTCACGTCTAATAAAACTTGTATTATTGATAATTTATATAATTGATTAATTATTACATGTGTGTCAACATATACCATAACTTAAATCACAAACTGACAATATGTATGCATCCGTGTGTGTGTGTGTGGTTTCTGGTTTACTCTGTTCTTAATTAAATATGCGAAATTAGATACCAATTAAATCAGATTTCAATGTCAAGTTTTATCATTTTGTCTTTACGCGCTTTATACAAAATAAACGAAATATTAATTCGCGTGGTGTTTATTTCAGGGCCCGCCTGGAGAAAAGGGTCAACAGGGTGTAATGGGACCAGCAGGGGAAAAGGTAAAATTCAATTCCACCTAATGCAAGATCTGTACGTAAAGTCACATTAATCTTATGCTCATATGTCTGACGTATTAAATACCTATTGATTTTTTGAAGGGTTCTCCTGGGCGTCCAGGTATTCCAGGAAAAGATGGACCCAAGGGGTCTGAAGGTCGACAAGGGCGACGTGGAAGAAAGGTTAATATAATGTCATACTATCCAAAATTTAATTGAACTTTTAGACAAACGTGTGCATACAAATATGCATATAATTAAAACGGGTGGCCGCTGTATAATATTGTTATAATATATTGTTGAATTAATGTACGCCTTTTAAAAATGTATGTGTACGAACAGACGTCACTCGCATAACTCGGTGAATGCGGGGATGTGTCACTGTTACCTTCAACAACTCCGCGTAAAAATATAACACATGTAATGTCAACAAATTTAACCGAATTGAATAAGACAAAAACGTTCCATATTACGTTGCTGCATGTTGTATTGTATCTTCGTGACTGTTTTCCCCAGGGTGACAGAGGAGAAATAGGTGCCGAGGGACCAACAGGACCTCAGGGACCCCAGGGTATTCGCGGGCCAGCTGGACCACCTGGTCAAGGTGAGTGACTAGTAAGACAACTGCATGGCACTAAATGAAAATCGTAATAAATTATGTTTGCACTATGACGGCATTTAAATATCATATAACTATTTACAATGTTAAATTTAATATATACTATGTATTTCCAACATCAAACTATTACAGTACTGCTCATCTTATATCTGTTGCTTGTAGCATTTTTTTGTTTGGCTATAGAGATTGATATTTATACACGTGGCACATGTTGTCAATTCTTTTAGAAACAACTGCTATAACTTATTGGATGTGCATTGTAATTATAAATGACAAGCTCTTTTTATTGGTTTATATGATTGTTCTACAAAATCAAAGACTGACTCTTTACTGATTATTCAATAAAATGTGGACTTTTAGAAAAATCTAAACACCCTCACTTTAGCGAAAAGGACATGAAAGAACGTTTCCCGTGCATTAGATGTACATTGTTCAGATGAAATTAAAACAACAAGACCTGGAACTGCCAAAACACCCGTACAGTTGCTCAGTGGCTGTCAAAGTCAAAACACACTTACATACATAGTCAACCCTCAACCAGCTAAGTACCCCGGATATTACTTTGCATGCATGTGACGTTTAGGAATTAGTAGAGAATGATCAACAATTTATTTCTATCCATTGTGTTAAATTAGTTCGCTGAATATACTTAGGATAAAAAGATCAAGGCGCTGCCCATTATTAATAAATAATAAATAAAAACACACACACCTACATACAGTGACTGACTAAAATAACACTGCTGCAATGATAACTAAATAGAGTATGTCTACATGACAATGTAATATCGGTGAAAATGATTTATACTAAAATGGGTACATTTAATATATAGCTGTACAAATAAGTGCATGCCTCAAATTAATTGCCGAGATTGATGACAACAAATATTTGCTCAGCAGGTCATCGGGGCTTCAAAGGTGACATGGGACTCCCGGGGATAAAAGGGCAGATAGGACCAATGGGACCGAAAGGTGTCAAAGGAGATAGGGGGCCACCGGGGCAAGGAGGGGTGAGTAATCTCAAATGTACAATTCCACAACTGTTGAAATGCACTTACGAAATGGTTTCACTGTTGACAATTGTTAAGAGAGTTTTTTGCAATTTCGATTCTTTCAGCAATTTCTAATTGTTCAGACGGAAAGGGAAATGAATAAAATCACCGATGAAGGTAAACTAGCCTATTGCATCGAAGACAAGCAACTGTATTTACGTGATAACACCATGTGGAGAATTGTTCAAATGGACACCAGTCTTATCTCTACACAGTCGCCTGGAAACAAATGCCCGCCATGTAAAGAGGTATAGCCAAGTCGCTTTTCACGAGTGGTTGCTTTACTTACTCTCATCTACCATGTAGGTGTATGTATTCCGAGGGCACTCGATTCTGTATCAATGAGTTCCTTTGCGAGAATAAGTAAATGTGCTAAAAAGTCCAAAATTATTTACTATAATTATAGACCCTTGGTGTTTTTTTGATGCAATCATGTCTAGTTCTTGGCTACTGCTCATACAGTTGGGGACCGATGTAGTATGTTCTACTGACTTTGCTTTCTTATTTTAAAATAAAATTGTGGTTTATTCTCTCAGGATGTCACCAGTTTGACATCAGCACATGAACTGGAACGACGACAGTTTGATAAATATTGAATTGAAACAAATAGATAACAATTATTTGAAAACAACATACACAATACAATCACTGTAGCTTCTGAATAAATGACAATCACTAAATCTTTCTAAGTTGATCCCCGTTATTTTTCTTGTTTTTTTTTTGTTTTTTGTTTTTTTTTTGCGCAGTCTAAGCCTATATGTGGGAATGGCATTGCAGAAGACGGTGAAGAATGTGATGATGGCAATGAAGACGTAAATGATAGCTGTATAGGTAAATTATTCTTAGCAATTTCACATACTAGTATTGAAGGGGATATATGTATATATATCGCACTTTGACTATGCAAATAAGTATGACGCTCAATTATCGATCATGAGAGATTCAACAAAATTACCTTTGGAAAAGACTTTGGAAATTTACGCAATTCCCACAGCAGTGAGACGTGAACTGACATTGCTTATTCAATTGCCGTTATCATCCGTTGCCTCGTGTGAGATGTCTTTGTATGTGTTCATTATTAAATTAATGAAGTTGCGCTAAATAATTATGTTGATAATGTTTTATTTTCTAATTGTTTTAGTCGATAAATTTATTTTATTTTTTTAAAATTGAGTGACTACCGTTGTATTTAATTACCCACCTCATTCCTTGGTCATGTTTTCTACTTCCCGGTTTTACCCTTGTATGCTTGTCCCGAGTTCGTGGGTGGGATGCTTTTCCGTCTGAAAATGAAAAGGTCAACACGTAAGACTAAGATAACTACATCCTTTTTAATACATACTTAGATCAATGCATGCACTCTGTTCCATTTTAGTAATGCATGCTTTTCTGGTTTATAGTGTGTATCATTTATATAGGCGGCAAACATAACACATGGCAAAAAAAAGCGGCTGCAGCTTTTAGTTCAAATTCACGCTCCGCCATGTTTGATTTTTATTATGAATATGCATGAGCATGTTAGTTCAGAGGTCATAGTGCACGTGCGCGAAACACAGCTAAAGGCAAATAGATGTGAACATGTTTCTATGAAAATAGTAGCCTTGAATATCAACCTTTTGTTAACCAGTGCAAAATGGAACAAAATCTTGCTCACCTGCGAACTCGGTACAAGCAACAAGCAATCCAAGATGGCCGTTATTTATTGTGACAAGTTGTGTGGTTTATAGCCTGCAGGAGGTCCTACTGTGGAGATGGTTTTAGACAGGTAGGTGTGGAAGAGTGTGACGGCACTGATTTCAATGGAAACACGTGCACCTCATTAAACCCAGGGTGAGTTCAAATGTGCTTTTATTTTGTTATGGTATATAGCAAGATACGTTGAATATGCAACTCGTATACTGACGAGGTCATGTTATTTTAATAGATAGCGATACGATCACCTTAAATCTATATACTAACAGTGTTCTTAAACCTAGAGATACCAATCATCAAAACACATGTTTTGAAGGATTATCAGAAAACGGGTTTTGCAATGAACAAACTCAATACTTATCATCCGTAGCTCTTTGATACAATTGCGCCTTCTATTGCTTGTTAGCATTAATCTGTTGTTTTTACTTACACACAGGGTTGTCGTACGAGGGCGTCTATACTGTAGCAATGCGTGTAAAATAGATACAAGGTGGTGTTACAAAATCAATTTCTAGCCTATGTTGCTCGCTATATGGAAGTCAAGGGACGATTTTCTTGAAGTGTTTGAGGCAAGCCATTTTTCTTCCTAATGAACTTGGTTCGGATGTCGACATGCGACATAATAGCATTGGTTTAGAACCCGAATGCGTGACCATCTAAATGCAGTTGATAGATTAATTCTATGCGTTTGGTTGCACAACTAACTCAGAAGGACACCATGCAGATAAATCTTAAATCATCTCAACGAAAAGACAAATCGATTTGCGGACTATGCTGTTTTTATGCATACAACGAATATGCAGAAGTATTCATTATAACTCATGAACGTATGCGTCTATCGATTTTATGTTACTTATGCAAACAAGTATAGAAGTATCAAAATAATGAGTGTTAAACATTCCTAATATTCGTTCTGTTTGTGAGCAGAATGAACGTATTTTAGTAGCCGGTAATTTCATGACAGTATTTGGGTTTGTTGACCTGAACATCAGAATTGCAGTAGTCCGTGGTAAACATGTTACATAGCTACGTAAGTTGATTATTCAGTAACCCAACAATTTGTTGCGCATAATGACCAATTTCAACAAAAACTCTCATGATATGGCGTGAAATCAGTTGCAATAACTACTAATTTTTGTTATAAGGCAGTGTCACAGTATTCAACTGTGTGTTAGCAAGACTGTCATGATGCAATGTTCACGATGTTACATTAAGGCGAATGCAATTATTGAGAATAGTAATAGTGTCATACAATACGAACATGACAGGCATTTAATTGAAATAAAATAAACGGTTATACTACGCAAAATAATTATATTATACAATTGAATTGTAAAACTCGAAAATAGACGTTATTGTATTGAAGAATTAAGAACAATTTTAATTGTTCCATTGACTCACACTATATTATTAATCAAACTGTTATTGTTATACGTTAATTTCCTTAATACGGTTATTTCTTTGTATTTGTTTCATATAGTATGTGTCCACTCATTTTTTTATTATTGAATTGAGGCTCGTAGCTTAACAGTTTAATTTATTTAATTTTGTTGTTGGTAGCGTTTTAAATAAAAACTAAATAGTATTTAAACTTTGGTAATTATATAACGAAAATATCTAATTTCAATAATACTAACGCACACTACTGGACACGTTTGTCTAATTGACAATTTTACTGTCAATATATATTGATGGTAGCTTCTGATTTACAGAAATATCACATACCTGTATGTGTGTTGTCGTCTGTCCTCTGTCAGGCTGTCTGTTTGCATGTATGAAAGCTTTATATTTATGAATTATGATTTCCCACACTAAGGTAAATCCACCTCTCTGTTCAACATGAGCCTGCAGGATGTGGTAATTTAAAGTAATATTTCGATACAATATATGATTTTTGGTATTTGTCACAGTACTGTTTGTCAACAAATAATTTATATGATACGTGTTTGTAGTTATATGTATCTTATATCAAATAACCAATCAACAGGCGCCTGTATATATTAGAATGAACAATGTATTGATTATACATTAAGTAAATATTGTGGAAATATAAGCCCTTAAATCGACATTGTGAAGTCTGCCTCTAGATACGTTTGCTATTGATGGGTCTGCTTGATGTATAATTATACCATTATGGGCTTGAGTGACGTTATTTTCAATATAAAATACTAAAATTAAATTTTAGAGCAGAGAAGGCAATCTAATGCAGGATTGTTGCCTATAAATATGTGTTTGCGTTCAATAATAAACCCCATAATCACTTAATGTCTATTCAGACTCAAACGTATTGCATATTGACTTTGATAGGAACGCTACTTCAATAGCCAAAACATACACTGTGTATATATATTGCATACTCATATAATTATGTTATTCTTGTAGTTTTTATTTTTAGTAGTAGACGAAATATCGAGTTAGAGTAATAAAATGAGTTTACCATATCATACGTTATATATAATATTATATTGATATCAGTATACACAATTCACAGGTGTACAACAATAACAAATGTAAGTGTGTTGAATAAACCGTTAGCTATGTCCATTACCGAATCAGTATTTCGAAATAAATCTGTTTTTTGTTTTCTCTGAGATATGTTTCTTTTTTTAAATATGGTACAGTGGATGTAATATTTTCACGTCAAAATATTGAAGTTTGTACAAAAATGGTTCATACTGTTCTGAATAATAAAATTTGCATATATTATATAATATGCATAATTAGGAATCACACGAAAATAACAAGGAGACTCGTTAATTCGTTAATTCAGCGGGAAAACTGTTATGTTATGGATTAAATTAGTTTGACTATCCACCTAGTGAGTTACGAGTAACGAGTGTTACTGTGAACTACACGATAGTATGATTGTAAAATATGTGTGCTTTGTTCTCAATTATCGTTCTGAGATAAATAATGTACATTGTTTATTATTCATAACCCTATCAGCCAATCAGATTCGCTATATTTGCATATTGACTTCTCAGCGGTCAATAAATTGTTAAATATAAATCTATTTTACAATGTATAAAGTGCATTTCGATTTTTTATTTTTTTTACTTAAGCTTTTAAGTTTGATATAGATTTTATTGTGAAATCAACAAAATAATTTTAAAATACAAATACAATGTTAAATATGAATGCGTAAAATACGAGAAAAGAGAAAATGCAAAAAACTTTACAAAAAGCATGGCTGTGACCTCCTCTGTTGCCATAAATACATATACAAATCCAACATAAAAAACATGCGGTGGCATAACAGCTGAGGCCTTAGATTGTCAACAAACTTTAGTCGTCTCGAGCTCTCTTGAGTGTATTTCGATTTAGGTGGTCTGCAGAGGGCGCTTGATACCATTATGCTGACACCATGCGAGGGTTTGAATCCCATTCATACGTGAATAGTATCGTGTATATTGTAATTCGCTTTTGTTGTAAAAAACAGTGCAATAACAAACAATTAAATAACGAAATAATAGTGGAAGAATTACACAATAATGTAAACAATACATATGAAAATACAATATATTTATCGGGAATCATTATAAGCACTCGAGCTTAATGCAACTTTTGGATTCTGCATACAAAAGATTCAGCCTATCACAACGCATATAATTTACTTCCTCAAGCCACTGTTATCTCGCCTCCGTTATCTCTATCCACCCGAATCTCTTCTATACAATTCTACACAATATTTTTATTGGCGCGACACCCATTCTTCGGAACACATGTGCCCGTTCATACCAACATCTGTCACATATAAACGTCATTTAGGTAATACACGGGTGATTAGAGTGATTGATCGCAATGGTGTAGATGAATACCGTAAATAAATATAATACAATTTCATTGAACTTTTTACCACAAACAGAACTCAGTGGAATGATGACGGTGGATTTTCGGTGGTTATGTTGTTAGGTGGTTGTTGGTGATGAAATATGGATTTACAAGATGGCTGTCAGGAATTATAAGAACATTCTGATTATTATTATATGTTAATTATTTGCAATACCGTTGATTTACATTGAAATTGAAACACTTTTCTCCAAATTAATATTTGTTTAATTATTTTATAACAATATACTTATTTCGCGAGGTCATGGAGTCGGGTTAAATATTAAAGCGGGGGGGGTCGTCACCTGTGCATGCGCAGGAATTGAGTCCCAAGCGACGATAACACACACTAAAAACGCAAAGGCTCATGGGTAGACGCTTGTTTGTAAACAATGACGCGCTATGGACATCTGACGCATGCGCAGGTGACCACTCCTCCGTTTTAACCCAAAAGACCTAATTATTCTCAATATGTTGACTACCTCGTATGCGGGTTCTCAAGAAATATAAAATTACACAATTCGTGTAACACTGGGATAATTTAGCCAGTAAACCTCACTACAATTATATCGACATATAATTATGATTAATATATGCACAGACACAACACAACGCATTAAGTGGAACCATAGTTTATTAGGTGAATTACGTGAACCATGTCGTTCTGCTCAATTTGTCTGGTCATGAATGCAAAATACCAGTGTACTAAGGAGTACGAACCCCTAACTCAGTGTCAGCGACTCATTTCCACCAGTGAACTGTCCCTTATGAAAAGGTCTCATAAGATTCTTATAAACTCTGTATTTAATTTATGCACTGTGGTAACCTAAAAGATGACTATTGACTTCAAAGGTATGTCATTTCTCGTTTGTTTTTAAAGAAAATATATTTTTTGGCTATGAAGAATTTGAAATATGGTGTTCATTGTTGTGTGGGAGGTACATAACTATGTATTTATCCTTTATAAGCCTTCAGCATGACACCAAAGTTCACACATTGCATATTCAAGGATAAAGTCCTTTAACAGCACTGATTTTTATTAAACCGATTTGTTTAAATTTAAAAGGCTATGGCTTATTTTTGTTTAAATATAATTAAATTCCCATTTGTATATTTAGTAGTGTGAAGTTAATAATTCATTTTTATAATTTATTTTTCATAAACGTATTTTAGTATTTTTAAAATGTAAATGTATAAATGTAAAAATGTTGACCCATAAACTGACGTAGGATTGCTGTTAAATACACGACTACTGTTAAAACGCGATTTCTTGATAATTTCAGTTCTGGAAATTTTGCATTAATAAAATTTATAGCACTTGTCTTGAAAAAAACATGTTTTTTTTTGTAATAATGTAATAAAGTGTTTGCAGATAATAACAAAATATGTAAATGCAATAATGAAAATGCAATAATTATTCACTTGATTTTGGTATTTTCACTGATAAGTAAATTCTTCTAAATTAAATCTAATTAATTGTTTTCTTGACAAATTAGTGAAATTAAAACGCAGGAATTATGTTTAAAACATCAAAATAGTGAAATTAAATGGTCTTACAGCATGTAACCTAATTAACCACAAGAATTCACAGAAGCACATGAGCTACTAATTGAGCAAATGTGAAAGTGCATATCAGCTCATCGTTGGGCATAGCTCTTCAAACAAAATGAACAATTAATGATGTGCTGTGCATTTCTCAGAGCAACAAAACATGTATTTGTTCTCCCAGAATCAATATGACAACTGCGCATTTGGTGCGTATTTTTGCAATGTGTCATAATAAATGTTTTGGATCTCTATATGATTAATCTTATGCAAAAGCTGTTGTTAATAATTTACCATCTTGCTAAAAAAATACTGCTCAGTCTTGTTTTCATTAAAGATCATCTAAATGTCATTTATATTACAGTATACACAAAATACTTTGATATTATGTAGC